TCATCCATGGCCACCGCCCAGACAGAGCCACGCTCATTGCTGGGGGCGTAGAAAGGGACAAGTAGATGGTACGAATTTTTATCAGGAAAAGCGTAAGGGATAGAACCCGAAGCAGATTCTGCCATGATGGAGGAGTTTCTCAGACGCTGGTGAGATTAGTCCGATGAACAATGTGGAAGTCCAGTCCTCAAGCGAGGGTTCTGCGCATGTCCTGGGTCTCTTCCCTGGGTAAATAAAGGTGTGGCCTGGATTGATAAGGTCCTCCACACCTCGGAAGTGGACAGCTGCGAGCATAAAGAGGGACTAACCTCCATGTCATGTTCCTATGGCATCCCAGTTAGGAGCCTGAGCACCTCAAATCCCTACTGAATTTGAGGGACAAGGCTTCTGACCAACCAGGCATCTGTATTTCAAGAGAACGGCAGCACGGGATTTGTCTGCTGCTCCATTTTCGGGGTCTGCTTTACAGTCGGGCACTGACAGACCTTCCATTCGGTCAAATGCGGTAATGATCGACCAACTCATACTCAGCTGAATGTTCACTGATTGGAAAGAAGCTCAAAAATATTGAATGTTGTCATACCTACACATTTCATGACCATTACTGACTTGTCATCTTCTCATCGTAGTGAGTTGGACCCCCAGTCACGGTGGCGACGAGTTAGGTGCCCAGGACTCCAAGCGATTTAACTGGATCCAAGTTCCAATTTGTCACACAATCCTCCTCATGCAAAGTTTTGACTTCACATTGCGGGAAGATACACCCGCCTGTCGCGGCTCCTGATGGCAGGCGGGCCAGACCGTAACATTGGAACTCATGTGGTCCAGTCCTGACAAGGGACATGCGGGCGGGAAACAACCCGGACAGATCAGCACAGACCGGACAAATCAGCGCAAGCCAGATCAATGCCGAGCGGTCTGACATCCAGCTGGACCACTGATGCTTGACGAGGCTGAAGCCACAAAATGCAATGTGCATGCGGAGTTCAAGCCCCGCAGAGCTGTCAACGCTGATAAGTCGATCGGGGATTGGGTTGACATATTTCGGGGTTGGCGGTTTAACTGATAGGACGAGAGCAGAGCACAAGTCCCCGAATGGGACCTACACACTGCAACCTTACGAATATGGAAGTGTACTTCACGAATCTCGTGTTTGGCCTCAAAGTGCCATATCTAAATGAGGAACAAGATGACTGTATGTAGAAGTATACCTATATGTTATAAGTACACAAGATATTCAAGTCTGTAAGCTCACCTTGACCCTCGCGCCATACCTCTCCAAGGTACCTTCACCTCGGAACACAGCCATCCAACACCATACCATCTATTCCCCCAACTATCGTTATTCCTCCCACCACAAAAATGTTGCCTTCTACCATTCTCTTTGTTCCCTTGGCCATCTCCCCAGCTCTGGGCCAGACCCTCCTACAAGCCCTCAGCGCCAACAACTTCTCCCTCTACGCCCAGCGCATCACCAACATACCCTCCATTGCCAACGCCGCCGGCCCAGGCCTCATCATCTACGCTCCGACCGATGAAGCCATCCGCGGAGCGAACCTTCCAACTTCCAACTCCAGCAACACAAAGCGTCAAGAAGAGGAAGAAGAGCGGCCCACCATCGAAGAGTGCGAATGCGGCGCAACAAACAGCCACAGCCAAAAGCAAAAGAAGCGACAGCTCCCCATCTCACCCGGCTCCGCTCGCGTAACGTTTTTGGATGACCCTACGCTTGTCAACCTCGGTCCTGGGCGCGCTCAGAGTATTGTGGAGAGGTGCCCTCCTGACCAGATCTGGCCTGTGGTGCATGGAGGTCTGGGGAGGAATGTTAGCGTGGTGGGGAGTGATATCCCTTTTAGTGGTGGGGTGATTCGGCCGGTGGATGGGTAGGTTGAATTCCTTTCTGTCTTTCAGATCTTTTACATCTCACCTAAACAAGAGCTAACATCATGAACCACCTGCTACAGTATTATCACAGTCCCAACTTTACTCTCTGAAACTGTCCGCGTCCCCTCCCTCGGAGTCAGCACCTTCATCGACGCCGCTCAACGCGCCGGTCTTCTCACAGAGTTGGACAACAAGACCAAAATCACTGTTCTTGTCCCATCGGACGCTGCACTTGCCAGTGCTGGCTCTCTGTCAGACACCGAACTTGCCCAAGTGTTGAGGAGACATGTCTTGGTTGACGTCACGGCGTATACCCCCTTGCTTCGAAACGGGGATGTCTACCGCACCTTGGCAGGAGATGCGGTGTCTGTTGCCTTGCGGGACGGAGGATACTATGTCAATGGAGCTCGAATTGTGCACGGGGATGCGATTATCAAGAATGGTGTTGTGCATACAATCGATCGAGTGAGTCGACCCTTCATGTATCTCTTTGAGAAGACACGTATGCTAACAAGTTGAATAGTTATTAGGGCCGTCAACGACAACTTTACCGAGTGGTACTTCGACCTCGACGACGGTTGCCACTTCTCCTATTGCAACTGCAGGTGCAAGCTCCCAGTTTGTCTGCTGGGCAGCTTTGGCCGGCACTGTGTTGGCCATGGCTCTGGTCGTTTAAAAGCTGCGTTTTTTCCATTGATGATCTGGACGGTGTGGAGTGAATGTAGAGCTTGGCATTAATACTTTTAGCTTGTCAAATAATCCTTAATATGACTACCCGGTACCTGATAGGCCCTTCTCTCCCGCCTTCTCATCCCTTTTGCCCCTGGTGCCCCTATTATGAAGCTATGGGGTAAAGGCCATATCATGCCTGACACGAGCTCTCCTACGGCCGCCATTAAATATTTCATCTCGACTTCAATGGAGGTACCTCGCCACGATGCCATCTTTCGCAGAGCCCTCGGCAGGGCGTAATAGTACCCAGGTAGTAAACGGGAACCTCTAAGCAGGGTTCCAGTTTGATCACCACCAACCAACCGCCAATTTGGACCAACATGTCAGCTGGGTCCCGATGCTCACAACAACGTGCCTAAACACTGTCCCAGCTGCCATCTTCTTGCATTATGCAGTATCTTGGAATTGCTTGCAACCACCCTATCATCTCTTCCTAGCCTCACTGATGCAACCCTGGGCACGGGACTCTGCTCGGTCAAGTCACAAGAGGAAACAGCTATAACTCTCACTGTCATTTCTCTACCTATGCACCGCATCTCGAATCAATGCGCACAATACCGCAAGTACTTGTAACTTCTCAACAATGGCAAACTTTCCACCTTCGGCCGTGATAGTAAGTCAAACAAGTAACGCCATGGAAACCCAGGTCAACTAATCACGTCGACGCGTAGGTGGGCCGCTCACTCGCCGGTTTCATGCACGGGCTCGTCCTCAAACGCCATGAAACCAACGTCACCATCCTAGAACAAGAGCCAGCGGCGACACGTAGCAGCCACAACGCAGGTATTGGTTTCGGACCCCAAGTCGAAGAGCTCCTCCGGGAGTACTGCGACGTCGCCGGCGTGGAGGGATACTACGCCCCGGCCGTCAAGACCCGTCTTGCCTTTCGAAAGCGGGAAAACTTCAAAGAGATCAACGTCGTCCGACATCTGACGAGCTGGGTACTGCTGTACCGGATTCTACGAGCCAATTTCGATGGCTTTGCATCGAGCACTATCCCGAACCCACCTCCTCCACAGGAGATGATGGAAATGCTGAGTACCTTACCGTTCCGGCCAACGTGTCACCTCTCTCGAACACCACGATAGAGACTCCACCGTCACAGTCCACTTCATGTTCATCGACGCCACAACCGGGAAAGAACCCTCCCTCACAGCGGATCTCCTCATCGGGGCAGACGGTATCAACTCCATCATCAGAGAGCTCGTACTCCCAAGCAAAACACCCACATGCTCACCGAAGAATGAGTACTCAGGCTACATAGCCTGGCGCGGCACAGTCCCAGAGACCTCCGTCTCAGCGTCAACGCGCCAGTACTTCTCCAACCGCACATGCGCCAACATCCTCCCGCGAAGCTCCATCATCACGTACACGATCCCCTCCGATGGCGTTGTCACCGACGACAATGATAGCAGCCATGCTTCCCCACGCCAGCGATTAATCAACTTCGTCTGGTGCCTCCCCCTCCCCTCAGACTCACCCACCATTGATGTCAGAAGTCCTAACCGACACAACCAGAAAACACCACCAAAACACCATCCAGTCCCCACCGGCCTCATCCAGCCCCAAATCTGGAACCAGCAAAAGACCCCAATCATGCTCAACCTCATGGCGGAACCATTCGCAGAACTCATCTCCACCTGTGACATCACCCTAGTATTACTCACCAAAGTCAACGACACCGTCTGCCCCAACACCGCAAGTTTCCACAACGGCAAAGTCTTCCTCGTGGGGGTCGCGCTGGTGGCATAAGTTCCGCCCTCACTTTGCCGTCGCGACGGAACAAGCAGCTGGGCACTGCTTGGGCTTGGTAAAGGTGTGGAAAGGGGGGGAAGAGCCTGCAGGAGTGGAGCATGAAGGTGACGGGGATGGGAAGAGGATGTGGCTGGCTAGTAGAGTGCTGGGGGAGTTTGGGCAGGGGACGTGGGTTTCCTTTCTCAGGAGTGTGATTGCTTATGTGGTGTTACCACTGGTTAGAATAAAGCTTAGGAGGGCGTGAGGACTAGGGGAATGAGATGGATAGGAACCCCATGGCTTGGGGATATAGCAGGTTAGGGACGCTTCTTAGGAAGCCCGTTGACTTCCTAATCGCAACCTAAGGTGATTTCTTCTTACAGTTCTAAGTCAGGCAAACATGCTCGTTAGAACCTCCCGAACCTTGCAGAGTACCAAGAAAAGGTTGCGGGCGGTTTCTAAGGCTTTGTAGTCAGAAAGAGAACCTCTATGCTAGGATTGAAAACACTCAACAACGAACATATTCTTTTTCGACATCAAGGTGACACTGATGGCAGGAATTCACGGTTGGTATAAAAGAAGTACCCCGCCTTGCAGTGGAGTCTTGTGGAGCAGACTGACTTACTGCTGCCAAAATGGCAAAAGTAAGTTGATGAGAGTGGGATTCGAACCCACGCCCTTTCGGACCACGGAATCTTGTACAAGATGTTGATTAAGGAGAATCCTTAACGTGGCGCCTTAGACCGCTCGGCCATCTCACCATGATGATTTGTTGAAGTTAGCGGCCGGATCGACTGCACATGGTAGGGTCGTACGACGTCGGCTCACTGAGATGAAGCTGTATAGAGATGCCAGTAGCTTGAAAGCCTTCGATATGCCTACGGTGATGGAAATGGCCATATAGGGGAGACGGGACGTTGGTGTTTACGTGGGAAAGGTTGGTCAGGTGTCTGGATTGAAGGTTGAGCTAAGCAGCGCCGAAAAGTCTTATTGTTGACATATTTGGCAATGTGAAATGGAGTAAAAGACCAAAGCGATGATGCTGGAACGCTTTCTCAATTACCACAATTAAAGCTCATTGGCGGTGGCAAGTCGCACTTCCCGCCCAGGATCCAGTATCCCTTCCCCAAAGCCTCCCATGACATGTTGTCTGCTGCTGTCCGCGTCTCCTCCTTCCACTCTACATCCCGTCCTGATAGATCCCGCCACCACCTCCCTACATACCTTGTCCCATGTGAGATGCACCTCTCTGGCATCTCTGGAAATCCAGACGATGCCCCGCATGGACCAAAGCAGCTGTCCGGCAACGCAACCCTTACATCTTTCAACTTGGGCATCTTTAAGGTCCCCTCATCAATCACCGTCAACACTTTCTCGATAGCATCCACCCTGTCCTTCTTTTCAGCGCGCAAGTCCGTGTCAATTATACTGCTCTGCAACGACAGCCACATATTCCTCAGCCCGGGCATTCGTCGAGCAAGCTCCCCCATCATGACCTCCAGTCCCTCCAGCTTCCGCTCAAACGTCACCACTCGATGCATCCGGTTGTGGCTTTTGCAGTACACATAATCCTTGGGATACAAATCCCACACCAGTTCAACGGTCGTGATACTCTCCAGCCTCTGCCGCGGGAGAATATAAGGCAGCCGTCTAAACATCAAATCACCCGAAATATGAAATAAATTTTGTTCATACAACACATGTGATGACTCCAGATAGGCCTGTTTGCATGATAGTAGGAACCCCATGATCCCGATGCAGCAATTCCGCGGATGATTTGTGCCGGCGTGCACACAGGCGGGGTAGAATGCGGAAAAGAGACACTCGTCGTCCCAGGGGGAGACGCGGCCGGAGAAGGTGGACTGGTCGGCGTATTGGGGCTGGTGTGACACTTGGGCTAGTCGGTGGCATATGGAGGATGAGAATTTCCACCTTGTGGGGCGAGACTGGTTTGAGCCCTGAGTCGTCATCAGGATTCCCGCTGATGGCATCCCGCTGTTCTCAGAGTTGGGGACGATTCTCCATCGTTCTTTTGGACGGATATTGTGATATGGGTGGAAGTTCGGGTCTACGGCAAACTTTTCAGGAGGCGTGTTTATCGGCAGCTGGATTTGCTGATGATAAATTGAGGTTTTCCAGTAGGCCTCGTCTTTGCTCTCGCTGACTGCATCTTCCGCCAAGGAGTTGGAACGGAAACAGTTGAACTTTGATCTTGACCTTTGAGGGGGCGGGGATGGTAGGCGGAAGCGCTCTTCAGCGTATTCTAGTTCGGCGTGAAGATGAATGGCCTTCTTGGCAAATGTCTCTATCAAGATAAGCTCGCGGATCTCCGGCGGGAGCTGCTGGAAGAAAGGGCTGTTGGCAGTCGCCGAGCGGGATGGCGATGTGAGATATGGTGGTTGAGGTTCGTGATCTGGAAGATGGGAAATCTCGGGTGTCTTCTTGGAGAATGGCCAATTGATCCGCAGACCAGACATGTTGTGATCTCCAAGGATGATGTCAAAGTGAAGTTCTGTATGGGAGGTGAAGTGATGTTGAAAAAATGTTGAAATTGAGTGTTCCCGAAACGTGATAGTCAGGTAGAAAGTCGCTATTCCCGATTTGGTGATGCTGGTGAGCCCAGAGCAGGGGGCAGGCAAGCTTTGACCTACCTGACTGAGTGTTAACAGAGCGAGCCCCACTGTAGGAACGACAGTACACTGGGGAAGCAGTATATACTTCATTTGATGCGCTTTATATGGCGGGCTTTGAGATGACTGTTTACCACCTACTGAAGTGAACTTTGGGATACCGTACCTTAATTAGCAAATCCTCTCTTGCTCGATAGTGGTGTATGAACTTGTTCATTGTCCTTTTCTATTGTTTCTTTACAATCAATGAAGCGTACTGCCGCTGAACCATGCTCCCAAATCATCAAACACCTACATCCTAAATTGATCAGAAAATGCCCGAAATAACGCCGTTCCCATGCTGTCTGCCGTCATGCCCAATTCCTAAGCCCCTTGAATTCTCCTCCTCTGCCCATTTGAATTTCCCTGGACCAAGTCGTACACGACTTTTCCAACCTCAATACCAACCCTCACCGTCTCCCCCGCCACAAAAGCAACCGGAATCCACGCCAGAGCCGCAGTCACGAGCCCTTCCTCTCCTGAAAGCCACCCAAGATATGTGTTCTTGGCGCTTTCCATCGCTACCTTTGGAGCTTTTTCAAGCTCCTGCTCCAGCCACAGACTGGCCTCCTTCTGTTGCTCTTCCCTCAGATGACTGACCCATTCATTTGTCCTGTCGAGTTCACCTTGCACCCAGTGTGAAGTCCGGTCTAGCTCCCCTGCGACCCATTGCGAAGTGCCGGTCTGCTGTTCCTCGCGAATTTGCGTTACGTGCTCATTGACATGAGTGAGCACTTGATCAGTGCGAGATGTGATTGTTGCTGTGAGTCCACGGGAGGCTTGCTTGGCCGGTTTTTGTCTGAACAATGAACTTCCTGCCGTCGTGATGGTTGCAGAGGGGGGACGCGGAGAGTGGGCGCGTCGTGATGAAGGCGGGAGGGGGCGGGAGTGGGCCTTTGGGAGCAGACTCGCTGGCGGTGGGGGGTTTTTTGATGATCGAGAGGATGGTGGGCTGGACGAGGGCATGGTGTCCCGAAGGGTGAGATCGCGGTAGATAACTTCTTAGGCTCGCACGTCCTTGGGCTTCAAGAAGTGACACAGAGAGAATTGCAGTGTGAGTTCAGAGTGTGAGCTTCAGAATTGTTTGTCATGCTGTGCTGTTTGCTGTTGCCGTTGTTTATCGGCTCATCCACACCGCCGCTACCCCTGATCAGGCAGGCTTGGCATTATGTGTGACGTGGTCAAGCTCCGGTCCTCCACCTTACCAGGGCTTGAACCCAACGTGTGCCAATGGGAAGCACTGATTTTTCAACGCTAAGCCGGAAGAATTTGTCCGGCGAACCCCCGGTCTCTGGACGCACTCCAGCCCAACCTCTCTCCACATTGACTGCTTTTGGTTTCCATGACAGTACCTCCTGTCCAATTAGTCTAAGTATCTCTATGGAGAGGCTCTTTCTGTTGATACAACACTTCAAAGCCTCTTTTGAAACCATCTGGGCGGAAGATGTCCAAACCATCTCATACAGATTAAAACCATACCAACTGTTTAAGCACTATGGACTTGATAGTGCCTGATAAACGTAAGCAACAAACCGTACTCATCATACTCATATACCTTAGTTCAAAATCCGTGTCTCTTTAGATTCGGCAAGTTCATATTGCCGTTACTTACTTTCAAGACTTGCTTGAACCAGAATGCCAGTCATTCCTTTGCATAAAAGACTTTGCAAGGACTGGTCCGGTACCGTACTTCTGAGCAGACAGTAGGTAGGTAGTTAAGGACACTTCAAGGACCTTACAATAGCCAGAGGCAGCCTCTAGGCAACAAATCTATTGACACCGACAACGGGCTTGAGTGGTCGTTGTGCGGACAATGCGCACTTCATGGAACTTGCCGCTGAGTTCTTTGACCAGCACTGCACTTGGTCAGTTTCATATGATTGGATACCGAGACAACCCAATACCATACCTGGAGTCAACAGGCCTGACTTTACCATCAAAATCCGGATCATGTTAAGTGGCCTGGCAAACACAGTTGTCCTGTGAGCAATGCCGCCTTAGCCGTATATGGTAGTTACCTATAAGCCGGTACTCATTTATACACGGTCGCCAGCCGTCAGTTGATGGCTTCCAGGTTAATTGCGATTAAGCGGCTCAAGGAACGTAAGCAGATCACAAATCAAGTAGCTCTTTCTTTTTAAACTGTATATATTGATTGTTCTTCCCACTTAAACTGATTACTAGGTTAGTAGTGCATGTTATAAGCCCGAGAGCTTCGGCTTATTCGCAATTGAGCTACCTTAAGAATCTTCCACTTATTTGCAAATAAGCAGCTCATATTGAATAAACCAGTACTTATTTACCCACAACTGTGAGTCGTACAAGGCTCCCGGGTGACAGCATGCACCCGTAGGTGGGCTCTCGCCAGCGGCTATGGTGTCTTCGAGAGATTCATGATCTTCCCCAAAATGGAAATCCAGTCTCTGCGCGTAAAGGTTATGCTCTCACAGCGTGAACCTTCCATCTGATTGTTGTACCAAGTGGGGCACCTTGCTGGCTTGCCTGATTCCTCCCTTGCAGCCTGTCGGGGTCACAGCCTTGTCCTTGTCTAACCCAACGAATTTCCCGCTTTTCTTCCACATCTTGAAGCATTCAGCACTTCCACCACCGCCGACAGAATGAAATGCTGCTTGGGCATCCACCGCCCCCACGCGAGGATCCCACTGCTGTGGTTTTTTCAGGGTCGACGCGACGCAGCTGACAGCAAGTTCAAATCGACCATCATCCTGACGAAGATCAGGTTGTCCAAATGCGATTTTACTCGACAAAGAGTGCATGTGCGTTGCCTTCAAAGCCAGCATAGCGAAGTCAAGCGCGAAGAGGGTGTCAACAGTGGTAGAATTGCAGTCGACAGCCTTTCTGGTTGAAGCAGATCATCCCATATCCAATCTTCAGTTGGACGACTCTGCGCGATTGGAACCCCTGACAGTATTTCACATATGCCACACGGGTTTGGCTGCGACCAAATACGAGAGCTTATAGCCCAGTATCAGCAAGATGACGACGTTATGGCGTCCAGCTTCCTGACCACGATCTTGCTCGTGACAACTGATCGCACGCTCCACGACGATGTAATACAGCTATTGAAGTCC